TGAGTTTTTAAAATTTTTATTTTATTTATTGCTTTTTAAGTAAAAAAATTATTTTTAAAAGGATCGGGATCGAATATTTAAAAAAATGATAGCGATCACGATCCACATTTTAAGGCCAGGATTTTAAATCCGAGAAAATTGACAAATTTAAAATCGAATCCAGGATCGGCGATCTTTTGATTCGATCCTTTAACAACTCTGATTACATTATATAAACATTGTATATAAATTACACTATATAATTATTAGTCTAATTTAGATAATGTTTTGCTTATTAACAATATTAGTTAAATTTGATATTTTTATCAACTCTCAAATGTTTTTTAGCTTCACCTTTGTTAAATTTAGTGAATTTCAGTGATTTTATGAGTTTCTAAATTAAAACAACGATGTTTAACATTATATTATTTAACATTTATAAGTTTCTAAACTAAATTAATGATGTTCAGCATTATATTATTTAACATTTATGAGTTTCTAAACTAAATTAATGATGTTCAGCATTATATTATTTAACATTATATATAAATTATATTGTATAATTATTAGACTCCTCAACATTATATAAATCTTATATAAATTACATTATATAATTATTAGTTTAATTTAGACAAGTTTTTGACCTATATAAATTACATCATATAATTATTTGCCTAATTTAGACAAAGTTTTGACTTCTCAACATTAACATATTACATTATATACATATTAGATAAAATTTAGACATTTTATTTTACAAAGTTTTTACTTCTCAACATTAACATATTATATTATATACATATTAGATAAAATTTAGACATTTTATTTTATTTGCTGTTAAATGTTTTAGTTTCACAATAGTTAATTTCTTGTAACTTTCAGACATTTTACATTTTATTTTTTTAGCTGTTAAATGTTTTAATTTCACATGAGTTAATTTCTCTCAACTTTCAGACATTTTATTTAGTTGGTTTTAGACACATTTTATTAGCTTTTTATACGCTTTTATATGTTTTAATACGTTTAGCTTTCTAATTTAGACAAAGTTTTGACTTCTCAGCATAAACATATTACATTATATACTTATTAGATAAAATAAGACATTTTATTTTATTAGCTGTTAAGTATTTTAGTTTCACATGAGTTAATTTCTTGTAACTTTTAGACATTTTATTTAGTTTATTTAGACATCTTATTAGCTTTTTATACGTTTTAATATGTGTAGCATATCCATAATAAAAATATTAAAGTTAACTAAATATTTCTCCTTAGGTTTTAAAAGGTTTTTCTTTCCTTTCCTCAAAATACCTATGTTATTAAAAGTAGTGCCACTTTTATTAGTTCTAGGGTAGTTTTTGTTGGATATGTAATTATAGAATTCTGCAAATAGATTTTTCACTCTTTAAAAATTTTATTTCTTTTCTAAATTTTTACAACATAAAAAAAATAATATCGAATAATTGATGATAATTTTTCTACAACACAAAATAAATAAATATTAAACATATTTTCAACAACATTTTAAAATTAAATAAATATTAAACATATTTTCAACAACATTTTAAAATTAAATCAATAATCCCAATAAAAAAAATATACAAAGTTATAACAAGCCCCCCTTTTTAAGGAACAAAAACCCGGAGCAAAAATGATACATTTTCGAGTAATTATTTTAGAAAAACAATCAGTGTATAAAATTTCAATAAATAACTCACATATATGAGAATTGTTTTTATGTTTATTCTTTTTTTTTATCATTTCATACACCCTTTTCTGGTCTTTAATTATAGCCGTCGAAGTATTGTTACAGTTGAATCAAAGAGTCGATTGAAGTATTGTTACAGTTGAATCAAAGAGTCGATTATAACGTTGTTGTCCTTTTAATATTGCTCGTTCATCTTTTACGTTCGGCAGCGTCTACATGACAGGATTTTCACTGGATGAAAACCCCCTTCAAAAACCTTTGCCTACCCCCTAAAAAATTCCCGCCGCCTTCGGCGGACAAGTTTCCCCATTATTATTTTTACCTTTTTAATTATAATGATACTCTTTTCAGAGAATTTATAAAGGATTACTTAAATTATTCATTCTTTACTACCAACTATCGATATTTTTATTTTTTAGATAATAAATTGATAAAACCTCCATTATTTACAATGAATTCATTATTATAGCATTATTAGCATGTTGAAATATTAAAACCTTTTAAATTACATTTAAGAGGATAGCAGAAAGTTTTATTTGGAAAACAATGTGTATGATTGTTTGCAATATATAGATTTGGTCGATGAATTGTATTATAATAGTTCTATAATAAAAGTATTAATTTTTACAGCAATAAATTTTGTCCTATTTCATCTCAAATTTTAATAGATAACCCTCCAAAACATTTATCCTACCCCCTAACCCCCTCAAAAAATAGGATGCAGACTGTTCCTACCCCTACCGCTCATGTAGACGCTGCGTTTCGGACAGACGGTATTGGGTTTATGAGTCCTAGATTGATTGTCCATTACATCATTGATCAGTCATGATCATTCAGTTAGGTATCATCAATCTCATAATTGTAATAGTTTGTTGAAGATAAGGTGTACGGAGAAGAAAAAAAATTAACCTAGCGTATTTACGCGACACTTTATTTGATCTCTATGGCGACGCACTTCCGTCATATCTTCTAATCTTATTTTACATAACTTATAACCTAAATTTTCTATAATTATTCCTTTATCCCATTTTTTACCACTCCCGTACATTCTAACCCAGACCATTTGATTAACTATATATTCATATTCTCTATTATTTTCAATTTCTAAAATTTTCGAAACAGGTTTCAACATATCTAAAAAAATATTAGTTTTCCTTCTCAACATTTTTTCCGAAGGAGATTTACCATCCCTTCCTACCCCATTATTATAATATAAATGAGCTATCCAAACTTCTTCTTTGCCTTCTTTGGCCTTTCTCAACCAACCTTTAACAACTGCCATCAATCTTTCTGCATGTCCGTTAGAACTAGGGTGATACGATGGTGCTAACATATGTTGCACATTATTTTTCAAATAAAAATTTCCGAATATTTCACCCACGAACCCCGAATCACCTGAAATCACACATTTCGGAATGCAGAATCTAGACCATAATTTCATTAAATGTTTAATAACAATTCCCGTAGTTAAACCATGTACTTCTTCAAATTCAATCCACTTTGAAAAAGCATCTACACTTAAAATAAATTTTTTATCATTACACTCAAAAAAATCCATATGAACCCTTCCCCAAGCCCTATTACTTTCGGCCAAACACTTTTCTTATACCGACACGGCATATTTGCCTATGCGTTACAGACTTCACATTTTTTTCCTATTTTTTCAATTTCCCCATTCATTTCCGGCCACCAAACATATTCCCTTCCTCATTGTTTCATTCGCGAAATCCCTTGATGTCCCGCGTGTAATATTTTTAGAACTTTATCTCTCAGTTGACTCGGTATAATAGCCCTATGCCCTCTCATAATGCAACCGTCTACCACCGTTAACTCAGTTTTAATACATTTAAATATATTCTCACCGGCTTCCCATGGTTTTTTCCCGTTATTTGCAATTTCAATAATTTCATTTCCTTATCTTTTAACGTATAATTTCTAATATCCTCCCATGTGGTGGGACCGCCCCGTAAACCACAAATAAAGTACAGATTAAGGCTGCTTTACCTTTCCTATCTCGACCTGATAGTTTCTCATAGGTCTCTTCCAACTCCCAATCTCGATAAAATCTAGTAAATGATTTTCTTTTCCTTGCCTATACCTTAATTCCAAATCAAAACTACCCACTAATAATAACCACTGTTGAAATTTAGATGAAATCATCAATTCTCTATTGTCCTTCTTAAATAAATAAATTAACGGCTTATGATCTGTAAATTTCCTACCAATTAAATATTCCCGACATTTTTAAAGACCGAAAATAACAGCTAATGCCTCTTGTTCAATCACCGAATACCATGTTTCTACATCCCGAAATACTCTCAAAAAAAATAATACAGGTCTCTCAATTCCATCCATTAAATATTGCTCCACCCACACCTTTATTCGATGCGTCCACCGCTAAAATCACTTCCAATTCATTATTAAAACAATCATAATGGGTTCTTTTCCCACTTTCAATTTCAATGCCATAAACGCCAATTCTTGTTCATTTTTCCATTCAAAATGTATATTTTTCTTTAATAATTCATATAATGGCGCAGCCAATTTAGCAAAATCTTCTATAAAACGATGATAATAATTCACCATATCCAAAAATGATTATACCTCAGTTTTCGTAGTAGGGCCTTATTTCTGTCCCATTTATCCCAAATATGTAACTTAAGTTACTCCCATAACACTCTTTTCACGACTCGCTTTTAAACCTTTATCTCTGATTCTTATGAAAACTTCCTCCAATCTCTGATTGTGTTGCTCAACCGTTACTCCCGTCACTAAAACATCATCCATATAATAAAAAATTCTTTCTAAACCCTGAAAAACTGCCGCCATAGTGCGCTGAAAAATTGGGACTGAAATACTTAACTCAAATGGTACCGACAAAAAGTAAATAATCCTTTAAACGTTGTTATTGTCAAAAATTTCCTTGTACATTCTTTCATAGGTAATTGCAAATATACACATGAAAAATCCATTTTAGAAAAATAATTTTCCCCTGTTAAATTTGCTAAAATTTCCTCAATTCTTGGTAACGGGTATTTTACTTCAACTACCCATGGATTAAGAATAACACTGAAATCCGCACAAATTCTCAACTATCCATTGGCTTTCCGCACCGGTACTAATGGTATTGCCCATTCACTATATCCAATAGGACAAATAATTCCATCACGTAACCAATTTCATTTTCCATTTCTCCCTCCATTCGAAAGGTATCCTGCGAACTGCACAATACTGTGGTATATATCCCTCTTTTAAAAGTATATCTACTTCATAATCCACCAAACATCCCAATTTTTCCCCAAAAATTTCTTCATATTTAATCCCTAAATTTATCACCGTATAACTTTTCATTTTCATGTGACTTTTTTTCTTTTAACAAATCTTCGTTTTCCATCTTTTTTCTTACAAATTTCGCCGGGAATTTTAGTGATACAGGCAATTTTTTTTGCTCTAAATTTGATTCTTTATATATTTTATCATATTTTATATAACTATTCTTTAACTCGGATTCTTCTTCAAATACCATATTATCAATTTCCAACTTAAAATCCCCAACATTAGCTTCCAAATTTCAAATCCAAAATTTTATCCATTTCATTATTATAATTTTCGTCTCAATTAATATTTACAATTTCAGGAAAACCTTGATCAGTTTCCCCACAAATTAATTTTACATTTTCCGTAATTTCCAAAATATTATCTACTAAATTTTCAATTTTATCAATACCCTTAACTTATTTTCCACACAAACAATTTCTCCATTCTTTATACTTCTCTCATTACATTCTAATTTGATTTCTTCTTTCATTATTTCATTTTTAATTTCCAATTTTTTAAAATTATCATCAGTTTTCGAAACAACATTTAATTTCAAATTATGAATTTCCTTAATTTCCTGATTATTATTCATCAAATTTTTAATTTTAAAATTTTCTGACATCATATTTTTTTACCAATTTATTTTCTACGTTTTTAATATTCAACTCCTCTACGGTCATTTTTGGTATTTCAATATTTTCATTAACTCTATTTTTTACCTGAAACATATCCCAAAAATTATTCTCCAACCTAAATTTCGATATCCAAGCCCACCCCATATCGCACCAATTTCTTCCTTAAGTATCCAAAGATCCAAAAAATACATTGTCTCTTTAATTAATATTGGTAAATTCACCCTTCCCAAAACTACAAATTCAGTTCCATTTAATTGTTTTACTATTATTTTATCATTTATTATTTTCTTATTAGGCCATAATTTATAAAATTCTTTATATCCCATGACCGATATAGTAGCTCCTGTATCCAATAACATATTGGCATATTACAAATTTGAACGTTTGACTTGGGTTCTCATTTTCTTTATTTTTGATAACCGAATCATTACTTATTTCTTCTTTTATTTTGATTCCTAATTTATATTTAAAACTTAATGTATTTTTCAATATTAATTCGTTCTTTTGATTTAATGGGTTTTCCGATGTAATAACCCCAAATGTACTATAGGATAATCCCTCGCATAATGTCCAATATTTCTACACCGAAAACAAGTTATTACTTGAGCATTATTTCCTTCATTTTTCGTTTCTTTAGGTATTACATTATTATATTCATTTTTAATATTCGTTCCTGGTAATCCGTTTTTAAACGCATTGATACCTGTTTGTTCCCTTTTGAAACATTTATCCAAAGTATGACCTGTTCTTCCACAATTTGAACATGACATTACCTTTCGTTCGTTTTCCTGTATTTTAAAAGTTGACACATAACATTTTTCTGCATTGTGACCAGTATTTTCACATCTTCCACAAACAATTGGCTTAGTTTTTTGCATAATTCTTTCATTACAATCTCGGTTTATATGTCCATATTTTCCGCAAATAAAACATGATCAATTTGCCCCCCTCGATTCCTGCCATCCTCTCTTTGATAAATATTTTCTCTTTTATTATCTTCATAAATACGTTCAGATTCATTTTTCTTTTTTTTTATTTGCTCCTCCATTTCTTTTATTTTTATTCTCATTTTTTCTACTTCCAATTTAAAAATTTCCTTTTCCATTTTTTTTTACCTCAACTTTTTCCATCTCTTCTTTCTTTTTATTTTCTATTTCTTCTTCTTCCCTTTTTTCACGTACAATATCTTCTCTTAATATCTTCCTTATTCCCTCAATTTCCTTTTTTTTTATTTCTTCCTTTTCTTTTTCATTTCTTACTATTTCTAATTTTAATTTTTCTAATTCATTTATTATTTCTTCTTTAATTCCCCTTTCTACTATTTTAAATTTTTCTATTTCTTTATTTTTAATTTCCATTTAACTTTTTCCGATCCATTTATTTTTTTTCTTCTTCTATTTTTTTTTTAATTTTATCCATTTCCAACATTAATTTTCAAATTTATTTTCTTCTACAGTATCTCTAACGATATTAATTTATTTTTTAATATCGCTAATGATATTTCCTTTCCATATTTCCATTATTTCATCTTTAAATTTAGATATATCATCAATAATTTTTTCCCTTTCATCTTTTTTTAGCATTCATTATAACTTTTTTTAAATATATTTTTCAATTTAATTCTTCTCCATACATAAATTAATCCAATAAGTACAATTAAAATTACATAAAAATAATTATTACTACATTCTACATATTTAAACGTTTTTATATTTTGTTTACGATTAAACATGGTTATTTTTTTATATTTCAATTTTTATATCCTTCGTAATTGGTTTTATATAATTTTTATATTTCAATTTTTATATAATAATTTATGATTTTTGAACAGATAAAATTACAAAAAATTAATTAAAACCTTTATTAAAAATATTTTTACTTTAGTTAACGACAACAAATATATAAGAGTGATTATGGTCATAATTACAGTTATATAAAAATACATTTTAAAATAAAATTAAAAAAATATTTTACCTTTACCTTCAAATTTTTACTTTATTGAAATTCTATTTTCGTATAGTGATTAATACTTGCTTTATGCCGCTGAATAACTTTGTAGGTATCTTTTAAAAAAAACGGCACCAAATTGTTGCGACTGCTAACGAATATAAATTGTTGCGAATGCTAAACTCAGATAAAATAATTCTTTATTATATATTTTTCAAACAAAACGAATATTAATAATTTTCTTTATAAAATAATAAAATCGAATATTGATAATTTTCTTTATAAAAATAAAACCGAATAATAATTATTATTTTTCTGCAACACAAAAAAAATATTATTTCATATTTTCAATAACATTTTAAAATTAAATCAATAATCCCAATAAAAAAAATATACAAGGTTATAACAGTCGCTACCACTATATTTATTTGAATTGTTGTTATATTGTATTTGCTTTTACTGATTGTTGTCGCTACCTCCATAGTTATTTGAATTGTTGCTATAGGATTGGTAATTGTTACGATTTCCGTCACCTTATTGGATCTGTTTTCTTTGATTATTATCATGCCATGTATTATCTCTACCATAATTAGATTGATTATTATTGTTGTAGCGATAGTTGTTGTAGTTATAGTTATTATAATTATCTTGGTATCTAGAATTATTATTACCGTAATTCCTATCATAGTATCTAAAATTATTACTATTGTCGTAATTCCTATTTTTATTCCTATTATAATTATTATCTCAAATATCATAATTATTTCTAAAATTATTATCAGGTCTAAAATAATTATTATTGTCATTTCTATTTCTATTGTTAAAGTTTTTATCTTTATCAGACTTTTTATCGTGATTTATATAACTTATATTATCAATATCTAGTTTATCATTATTACTATCTAATCTACTTCCTAACTCCACGATTTCGTTTAAAGTTAAATTAATATTTTTACAAAATTTATATTTTATTTTGTCATTTAAGGTAGACGTACGTAATTTTTCTTTAATCCTACTGTCGTCTAAAAAATTACATTTTTTATGCAAATTTGATAATCTTATGTACCTTTGCATAAAATTTTCACTCGAATTCTGATGTGATAAATTGAATTTATTTATTAAAATATTTTTATCTTGTATAGGTAAAAGGTATCCAAATTTTTTAATCACTATTTTAAGGTCTAATATATAGGTATCAGAGCAAATTGATTTATTATTATCAAACACATCATCAGATAAATTATTAAGTGTTTATTTTAACGATGTCCGGTAATGTGCTAATCGAAAAATAACTTAACACCCTATCTAAGTAAATCTCAGTGAGTGGTCCAATAAGTTTTGGAAATTTATAAAATATGAAATCAGGTTTAGTGTCCATTTATTGTTAATTTTTATAACATTTCATATAAGCATTTAAAATAAAAATGATACGTTATATTTTTATAAATATACACCGGAGTTGTATAAACTCCACATTATTATAAACATAGTATTTTCCGTCTCGTTGTTCAAAATATCTAAGCATCTCTTAGAGACTAAAAAATTCAAAAATGATATCACCACTAGTGGGTTCTCTTGAATACTGGATGTCACAATCATATGTGAATTCCCAAAGGATGTCATAAATTGACACTTCGTACGGTATATTTATCAATTTAAAAGAAAACATTTTAAAAATAATTTTTACCTTAAATTGCCTTCCTTATATAGGATTTTATTTTATTTTTTATTTTATTTAATGTTTTTGCATATAACATCTCACCATAAGAAAATGTGGAAGAGAAAAAAAAAATTTTTTAATAAAAGATTTTAAAAAAATGCATAACATAGTGGTGAGTATTTTTTGCCATTCCTCAATGGGGCACCATGAAGAAAAGTAAAACTATTATTTTATTATCTATCTTTATTTCACTTTTTATAACGTATTTATATCTTTTTTACAGAAATAATATTTGAATAATAAAAAGGCTAACTTAAAGTAAAACTAAAATGAAAATATAATCTTAAAGTAAAACTAAGATTTGAATAAATATAAAAAGGTTGACTTAAAGTAAAACTAGAATGAAAATATAATCTTAAAATAAAACTAAGATTTGAATAACAGATAATAATTTATATTGTTCAACAATATAGCATCTTTTGAATTCTAAATCTTTATAGTAATTTGTCTTATTATGTAAAATCTACTAGAGATGTATTTGATAATAATATTGTCCTTTGATTGGACGAAATTTTGGATTGTGAGCTTTCATTTAAAATATCTCTTTAATCCGAAATAGTTTTTTGATAGATTTCGTAAAATTTTTTAGTTTTATAAATTGTTTCATATTGATATTTAATTCCATCACATCTTTTATAGTTTAAGTAGTACCATAGTAATCTGTATTTCGTTTACTGTTTCCCTTTTATAAAGCCATGTTATGGCATCGTTTACTAGATTGTGATCAGAGTTTCTTATTATGTAGGCTATTTTTTAACGTTGTGTTTATCGTATGATTTGACCTTTTCCAAAGATTTGAGTTTAAGATGATTCTTGGGTAGAAGATACCATTTATTATCCGGAGGAAATTATTGATAAAGGATTGAAGTCGCCTATATTTCTCATATCTCCATAGAGTAATACAGGAATTATTGTCGAGTTGAAGATTCGCAGTCTGGTAAATACCTACATCTCTTTTGTTTTCCAACTTTCATAAACGTATAAAAAGCACCTCTCGCTTTTTGTATTCAAATTTTCATTTGCAACTGCATTTATTATTCAGTGTGGCCCCTAAGTCTTTATTTTGTCTACTCTTTTAACTGCATTATCTACAACCGTAAGTCGAGCGTTGGCGCGTTTGGGGAAGGGAGAATAACTATTTTTGAAATTTATCGTTAATCAAACTCTATGACCATAAGCGTAGACAAGATTTTCCTAAAGGGGGGATTAAAAAATTTCTGGGGGCTTCACCCCCAGACCCCATTTAGACAGGCCTTCAGCCGGGTTACCTTAGTCTATATAGTCAGATAATATTTTTACAAGAGAGGAGGTTATTTTTAATAAAGAAATTAAGCCTGGAACAAATATGAAATAAATTTTTATTAATTTATATAAAATATAATAAATTACTTGTATATAAATAAAAAGCATGGTAATAATTTATTCCAAACAGTATAAGAGATTTATTTATAAAAAGTAAGTAGACATATAGTTAATATTCCTCTATTATATATAATTGGTTACAATAGGTAAAATTCCACTTTTACAGACATATTTGACAGTTATAGAATATATTACAGTTATTTTAACAAAATTTACTAATCAATGTTCTTGATAATAAATATAGAAACAATTTGCATTCAATTATTTAACGCCATCCATTTATTTTAAATAAAAATAATGATATTAAAAAATAATCTTCATATTATTCATCCCATAATGCTAATAGATATTTATTGATGTCCTTATCAATATTTTATAGTTTTCTGTAAAATATATAATTCGCTATATTGGTAAAAATTATTTGATTGTCATATGATAATTGAAAAAATTAGATAATATAATATTCAACTGTTTGTATTGTGCTTTAATTTTTTTATTTAATTTATGATTTAATTTTATCAATAGTTTTAAGTTAATATAAAAGAGTATATTCACTTTTATTAAAATAAATAAATTCATAATATTATACCCTCATCTTTAATAATGAACAAATTATATTTGAATTTATATTATATTATTTACAGTAATTCGTTATGGATCTATCGTAATAATAATTATAATACATTTCACTTAAATGGTAAATTTAAGACTTATGCAAATTTGACTTAGATGCCATTTCTTAATAAAACATTATTGAGTTCACTTAATTTTATATATAAATACGAAAGTATTTTTCAATAAATGTATAACATTATGATGCTAAATTAGTTTTATAGACAAATATCAACTTTTACATTCTTTCTTTCAAATTATATGATTTAAGATATATGCATACATTGTGTGGGGTTCAGAGGAGTGGGGGTAGGACTAAAGGGGATATATTCCCTTTAGTCCTAGCTTTACTCCTTTGAACGTCACACGATTTGTTTTGACATCATATAATATAATTACAATATTTTAAATTTATAAAAGACAATAGTAATTAATTTAGCATCATATGATATAAATATAATAAAACTACTTTCGTCATAATTTATTAAAATTATTGAACTCATAATGTATTTATTTATTAAATTAAGTCATCTAATCATATTTTCATAATTTTATATTTACCATTTTAGCTGAATTATATAAGTTTTATAACGACAATATAACGAATTCTGTGGATAATTATTATTAATAAATTCATAAATTTTTTGTTCATTATTAAAGATAAGGGTATAATATTATCGAATAATTATTTTATTAAAAATGAATAATGCTCTTTTTTATATCAACTTAGAGTGCATAATGCCAAAATAAGTCATTGGGATATTAGAATACCTTTTTTAAACATTTATTTTATTTTATATTTATAAAAAACTTATAATTATATTTCACCATAATTATTCTAAATCCAATCAGACCACACCAATTTTGGATTTGACGTTAATAAGACATATTTCCTCTGACTTGTATTATAATTTTACATTTATTATATTTTTTAAATGAATCTGTATAAGTATTAGATGACAAATAATTTAATACTAGTTGAGGGAGACATTTCGGAAGCCTACATCGATGAATCAGACAATGAAGAAGATATTTTGCACACTTTTTACGATGATTCTCTTTCAACTTCATCAAAACCAACATCTAATAATCTTCAAGTTGAGATAGAAGATCCAAAAAATAATAATAATATTATCATCCAAAATAATATGAAATGGAGAGCAGGTGATATCCATCAATTGGACCCAAATTATACTAATACATTTTTCCACTTTAACCAATATATTAACTCCATATCTACTTTAAATTATTCATTTCAGATGATATACTAAATAATATATGTGAACAAAGTTGCGGGATTGTATATGATTTTAAGATTTATGCGGGAAATCAAACTAATCCAACATCATCAGAATTGGAGATAAGTGTGGAGTTATGTATGTAAAGTTGATAAAAAAGAAAATATATTAATTGCCAAATGGTATGACAATAAGTTTATGCACGTCATCTCATCATTTGTCGGTGTTCATCAATATAAAATGTAAAAAGATGGTCACTAAGTAGCAAAAAATATATTGAAGTGCCAACCAAATATATTAAAAATATATAATGAAGGTATGGAAGGAGTCGATTTACATGATACGCTTGTTGAATGCTATAGATATTAAAGGTAAAAGGTTCTACCTGAGAATCATTTTTCATCTCATTGATATGTATGTAGTAAATTCTTAGCTTTTTGTATAGGCGGTAAATATGCCATGAAAAAGAGAACAAATTCATGAAACTTATCAAATTTAAAACACATATTGTCAACGCATTGTTATCGGCAGGCAAAATTATTAAAAGAATCATAGATACCTCTGAATGAATAATAATTTTTTTTTAAAGTTCTTCTATAATAGCTCTTATATCAGATATGACAACATTAGTCAGTGACCGAATTCCTGCGAAACGAAGCAAAGATACAAGTTATGCATAAATGCATACGCCAGAACAAAATGTGCAAAATATAATTTATATTTTAATCAATATAAAAATTGTTTTTGTGATTTTTATAATAAATAGATATTTGTATTTTATTGTATTATAATAAGCCTATTTTTTTTTACCTGTGTATTTAAAAATAAAATTTTGAAAACATTTTGGGTATCTATGGAGTGTATAAATGAATCATTTTTTTTTAATTATTAAAAAGTTGGGCGTCAAAGGGTTAAAATAATAAAATTTTGAAAACATTTTGGGTATCTATGGAGTGTATAAATGAATCATTTTTTTTTAATTATTAAAAAGTTGGGCGTCAAATTAAAATAATATTCACAAAAAGTGATAAATTTCTGAATGGGGGGGGGCACCCCCCGGCTACTCCTATGTCTATAACTCAAGGTCTTTAATAGGTAGAGTAGATTTATGGTTTCTTCTATATTTTGGATATGACAACGATGTCATCTGCATATGATATTATTCTGTTTTTGAAACGTATCGTCTCATTTGACCCTATATCTGCCAGATCGGCCGCACCCAGTGCTTCATTTATGACTTTATTTAATATGATATTAAACAGGAGTGACAATAGAGTACAGCCATGTTGTACACCTTTTTTTATTCTGAAAGAAGGAATTATTTATCGTTGATTTTGAGGCATGCAACCAGTTTAGAATGATTTAATATGAGTATGATGTTGGGTTCTAGAAAATGATTACACCTTTCAATCATTGATTTTCGGTACTTTTATTGATTTAATGCGACTTAAAAAAATATTCTATTGCTAAAAAATTTATGATATAAATTGAACTATTATGGTTTGTATTTCATGTATCATCATACCAATAATATTTTATATATGGTATAAGTTTCTAAGTCCTTATATTACCCCTATTTATCAGGCAATCGTAAATACAATTTTTCAACAAGTTCAAATTGCTGATAAACCCAAACCAGAGAATATGAAAGAAGAAGATTATTCAGAAATGAAAAAGATTGAATAGAGCAATATATAGTTACAAAGAGTAAATATATATAATATAGAAAATGAAATAAACACAAGCTTGTATGGTTTTTACTTATAAACGCCATTTTATTAAAAATATATAATTTACATAATTCCATATTGCAATTATTTATCTTTTTTTGTTGACATGAATATTATAACTTTCCACTATACTAGGAATTCTAGTTGGGCTATGCATTTTTTCTGGAATGATCAAATTATCAGGCACTCTAGTAGGGCTTGGCATTTTGACTGGAACTTTAGTAGGTGTTTTCCATGGGAGTGTTAATTCAGCAATAGTTAATGGATTGGTGGCTAAAAACAAAAAATATTTATTAAATATAACTAGTTAATATTTTATTTTACGATACATTTTCATTTGTTTAAATAAGATAAAAGGATTTGCTCCTATTTTGAATGTATATTTGGGCCTATTTAAAAACATAAAGAGCACAATACAGATATCAAACAATTGATTTATTTTAAAAAGGTTGTAGATGGAGAAATATAGCCATAATTGACACTGGGAAAATTGGTATTAAAATGATTGCCAAAAAATTTGTAAAATAATGGGCTTGGGTGGATTTTTTATAAAATCTTAATGGGCCAAGATTGACTTTTTGTAAAATTTTAATGGGGCCTAGTTGGGTAAATTAAAAAAAATTACAATGGTCCTGACCTGGCAAAAATTTTAATAAGGCAGGCAACTTGTGCAAAAATTATTAAACAACCAAAGATGGCTGGGCTCAGAGCTGTAGCCATGGGAGGGGGGGGGGGCATGAACAGGCTCCCCCAAAAGAATTTGCATCCCTCAAATAAAAAAATTTATTTAGTTATTAAATTTTAATTTACCATTAATGATTATGCAAAATTTTTGGAAAAATATTATTTATTTAATTTACAAATTAATAAACAAGTTGTGAAAACGTGAGCAGAATTATTCATTACATTATGTTTTTTATGGAGAAATCTAAGAAAATTTAATAGGAATCTATAATTTACAATGTCTTTTGGTTGAATTCATTACTAATTATATTTTAAAGTAAATTAATGAATTAAATATTCATTCATCGAATATAATAAGCTAGCCATATGATTAGTAAACCTCATGTGTGGCCAAAATGGAGGAGTACAAAATCTGCCTCAAAAAAATTAATAAAAAAGTGCTTTATATATAATGCTACAACCACAAGTTGCATCTTGTGGTTCAAAATTGGTATAATAATATTGTTATCATTTCTAATTTTTTAATTTATCTAATACATTGATAATTTTTTTAGGCGTGCATATCCTGTAAATATACAGGACATACTCTTAAGAACCTTTAAAACAGAGGTGGACTGGCCATTTAAAAACATATCGTATTATTTATAAGAATTTTGAGGCTATTGGGAAAGCATTATTTTACTTTCCTAATAGAAATCTATAGGGATTTCCACTCATGATTCAGTTGAAGCCTCTGGTTTTCTATCTCAATCCATTAATATAAATTATATTTTATTTGTCATTTTAATTTATGAGGTATTAATAATAATTAATCGACTAAATATCTATAGTCTGTAGGTACTAATATAGTGGATGCTGAAAATTGTATTGATTCCACAATTAACATATTAAAAAAACAAAGAAGCAATAATTCTTTTGATTTGATAAGAATTAAGATGAGAAACTTATATCAGAATTTAATCTTATCCCTCAAAAATCATCAAGGGTACGTAAAACTCAAATCTTCAAGATTTTTAATCGATATCAAATTGCAATTTGATTATAAAAAGGTTCAATTAAAGTTCTTTAAAAATGAATTATTAAATTATTGATACTTTATAGATCGTTTTTTTACACAAGATGATTATAATCTTCTATCATGTTTTAATGCCCTCCCCTTTGACCCTGATTATTTCATATCAGATAAAAATCTATCTTGATTCATCAAACTTAAATATGTAAATGTTACATCATGAAATATTAATAGCAAAAGGATTATTAGTTGCAGAAATTAAAGAAACATAATTTTGAAAATATCGTAAATATTATATATAAAAAATATATTGCTTTTAAAGAATCGTACAAATGCTACTCAGCAATCATCATCATGTATCAACGGCTTTCTGAGGCCTCATTCTATACACTAAAAAGAGTTTTATCGAACATTAGATATTTGATGAAAGATCAACGCAAACAAAATTGAGTATTACTGAATTATGGGAAAAAAAATACAAAATTTAGCTTTTAATTCATTTATGTTAAAGTTGAAATAAAAATTGTCGTTTACAAATTTTTTAAAATAGCAAAAAATTTCCATATGCCTAATTGTTTTATTTGAAAAAATATTGCCCCCCACCCAAAAAAAAAACAGTTGGCCCCCTTGCTGAAAACTCCTGCTACGGCCCTGGTTGGGCTTTGACCCCTAATACTTAATATCCAAATATTCATGTGTAGTTTCGATTTGTTAGTATTTATTTTATATTTATATAAATGATATTTTAAGTAAATTTTATTATAGTCCTCAAAATATCATAGATTTGCTAGTGTTTTCGTTAATTGGAATAATTCTTTGAAGACTCTTATTTGAGAGGGGGGGGTTAGTTTTCTTGATTTGTTTTCAATCTTAAAATTTCTAAACATTCAGGATGATTCCTCTTGAGGAATAAAATAATATTTGATGTCATTTATATCAGCTCTTTGAAACAATCAATATTATATGATAATTCTGTTGGTTGGTTTGTATATATCCTTATTCCCACTTCATGAAGTTGGGTGGAAAAGCAATGATATTGATTTATTTATGAACCGGGATTATCTTGTTCTCATCAACTTTAGCGCTTATTGTGCAAAAGGAATAGATAAAATTTGCATAAAAATATTTATCGAAGATATTCTTATTTAGAAAGAGATTCAATATAAAGTATCTATATAGATTCTTTTTTTATAAAACCTGCCCAACTAATATTATTTATATAGTGTTTTAAAAGGGATGAGTGAATTTATCTAGTACTAAACTATTTTGGAATGTTTAAGCCAAAAACTATTCAACTGACATCATAATTATAATCTTCCCCAAAGTAGTATGTTAATTCTTATTATACAAATATATACAATTAGTTCTATCATTATGATTTTTATATCAATTAATTAAGTGCAACTTTCAAAGTTTTCAAAATGACCTTTATTTAGGTGGAGTGAATGGAAATTTCAATTTCATGAATAACATGTGTCCTTGTTCGACTTAATACTAAACAGCCGATTGTTTAGCTGGCTATACAGCTTTAACTAAACAGTCATACAAAAATATGGCCACCAAACACTTAGGGCGTCGCATACATAGGGTAAACATCAATAAGTAACAAAATACATTGCACCAGGGAACACCCTGATTGAAATTAGCGCTCTATTAGCTACCCTTTTAAAGAATAGAGGCTAAGCTACTTTTGAAAAAATAACTTTTATTTATTTATGTATCTAATTTATGTCCACATTTCAAATTCAATATAAATAATATTGTTACAAAAATCTTATCTTATCTAGCACGTTGATCATAGACCTGCCCAAAATGAGCGAAAGTGAATTTTATGAAGGCCCACCCTTCATAAAATTATGCCGATTTTTTTTCTCAAGGATACCAACAAACCTTGTACCCAGTTGTATTTTACTAAATGAATGGAACTTACCCTTTCCGATATTGTAATTTAAATAAATAAATATATAAGGCATATAAATCTTATTTGTTTATTATTCATGAATAGTCATGATAAGGAATGAGTTAAGAATATTAGAATCTATAGACATCAAAATTCCATTTCATTTGTTAGGTTATATTCTTCCAAAAAGATGAACCGGAAAATAGGATGGATAGATAAAAAAATATATTAAAAAAAAATACTCTTGTTACAAAAATATGAATAGAAATGTAAATCATATGCTTTATTTATTTTTATTGCATTTTATTAATAAAATTATTTTTGTATTATCATCCCCGAGAAAGTGACTAAGCTTTGTTTTACTAAATAATTACTCAACAGTAGCACTTGAGGACAATACGGTATTTAATTTTTATATGAAAGAAATTGTCAAAAATCTTTATTTGAGCGATTTAAAAAATGCGTCAAACGTATTTTTTATCTAAAATTCTTGATGGAAAAATAATGAGTCAACGTTACCATTATCATTTTCTCTTTGGAAGTTAAAAGATGAGAACTTATATACTTTAATTTACGTTCTATTTAACTTCCTACAGTCTGCTGTTGTACAGACGAAAGCGACATCTGATAGATCTAATAAAGGACTTTTTAATTTCTTGAAAATTATACAAAATTCTTGCCATAACTGTTCCAGCAAGATATCTAGATGTCATAAGATAATATAATCAGGTTGATAAATTATCGACAAAGGAAATTGGCTGAACTGTAACAATTATAAAATAGATTATGACTTTATTAACTAATTTTCGTGAAACACATTGATTTTATGTTCTAGGGCTAGCCACTTTAAACTGGGTAATATTTGATATGTTGGATATAGCTCCTAATACACCAAATCTAGGTATTTTTTAATCTGTAAAATTTTAGGCATATAGATGAACATTCCAAATTTAAAACAGCAGGTAATAATTTTATTGAAGTTTATGAATATTTTTTTGTTGATAAGATAATATGCTCTATGTATTAAGCATCTACATTTTAATCTTTTACTATTTTTTTTATTAAGCTTAAAATATTCAATATGGGAGATGGAAATTGCAGAATATCATTTTCTAGTTGATTTTTATCATCGATCTCGAAATTATATTCCATGTCTATTAGTGGAATTTTGATTTTAAATGGGTAATTATACATAGTGCTAAAAATTATTAGTTTTTTAAAAATTTTTATTAAAATATTTGACAGCGTTATAATCTTATTGTTAAATACAAAAATAATTATTGCTTTAGAGAACATCTGTAGCCTAGTCGATGAGTGCGTGTATCACTTAATAGTTCTGAGCTCGAATCCAGTAAAGACCAAGTTTTTTCCTTAAACCAAATAGTTGGTATCTTGCTACGGGGTATAATATATAAATTGTCGAAAGCGACAACGTGAGTTCGTTAATATAAATTATAAATAAATTAAATACAAATATTATAATTTTAAAATTAAATAAATTTTAGTAATTTTGCACAAAATTTTAAATTTGAGAAGCAACGCGATATTTAGCTATTCTCCAACATGGAGCGCGCTACCGCTATTGCTAAAAAGGGAAGTATACAATAACTCCGATTGTAAACTTATAAATAATTTCCCCCCTTCACCCATCTTCCCATAAATATTAATTTTAATAAA